GCACTGTCTGACGCGTCTGCCTCCGCGACCCGAAAGGAGAAGCGGCGATGGAAGATGAAGATGAAGAAGGAACCGGACTGAAGCGGCGAGAGCACCGTTCCGTTGCTTGTAGTAGCCTAAGGGGCCATTTAAGGAGACCGCAGCTCGATGGTATTACTGACTAGAAAAATAACCCGTTCTTCCTCAAATAGATTCAGATGCCAGGCATTTCGAAATATCGACTGAAACAAACAGAATTAGTCGTTATTCTCTGTTCACAATGTATGAGGTTGTGATGTATTATCAGTACTACGTCCAACATCGTTTGATCCTTTACGATTTCGGTGGTGCGCATGATATGCAGTTGTAGCCAGTATGCGATCTCAATTGTGGAGCATCGCCTTAATATCGTTTCGGTCTCGATCTCACAATCAAACCTTCTAATGTTTTTGAGGCAGCTAATATTTTTTCATATAACATCAGAAGCGAGTTTTGCTTTTGTACGTGTTCTAGAGGCTTACGTTGTGCGTCAGCTTGCTTCAAGATACATTCACTAGTTTCCAGACCTGTTCAGGAGATGCGTAGCACTCACTTGTGCTACCACATTCCAAATGCTTCATATTTGCGATCCGCCTCCATGAGAATGCAACACTTTAATTCATTGTTCTCACGAGGCAAAATAAAACTTCTTCCAGTTTCAACTTGATCGAGTTTCTGATGCCGCAGCTTTGCAATATTCTGATTAGTTCTATCATGCAAAATTTTGCTATTTCTATACGTTGACGATCACCATTTATCACTCTCCGTTACTATCCAAGGTTTAGCAAGGCTGTTTGATGAAAGCGGCTTGCTGCAACTCAACAATTTCTGGCTGCAGCAAGTATTCCTTTGCCAGGTTGAATTTGCGACTAACAGAGACCAACAATAGTTTGCATTCTAAATGCTGGCACCATTCTCTACCAGAAATTGTGGCTAATATTATGTCATCTCAGTATCGCATTCTTGTGACCAACTTGCCTCTGATCTCGAAAATACGGTGAGGCATTCCAACGCTGACCGAGACCGCGTGAAGCCTTGCCATGGAAATGATGTCAATGACAAGAAGCTATTCTAATTCGCATACCCTTTTTATTCATACGATACGAATCATTTAATCATAATGGTCTATACCTTGGCAAATTTGTCGAGTTAACACCAACAGAGGCGCCATTCTTGACAATTTACAGTCTACCGTTCTCGCAGACAAACTTAACGGTACAATATGCATTCATTCGGAAACATAACATCAAAACAGAGATGCTTATGTACAAAAATTTGCTGACATTTCGCCATCCAATTTTGAAAACGTTCAGCACTTCAGATTGCCACCACCAAAAAGTAGTCAGAATTTAAAATTCGCAGTCTGCGTTGAACTGGTTCAGCAAAGTTACCAGGATGAGTACTCAGTCTCGGGTAAGTACTACTGCAAATTAATAAAATTCTACTTTAACCAGCAATCATGTACATTCGCAAAGTGCAATAGGAAATGCCAGCGTTTTCTTTGAACCATAGCGGACGCCTTATAGAGCAAAAACGACACATTACGAAGGTACAGTAATAAAGTTATTTCTTGCTTCTACTTTCAAGATAATGTTTATCACTGTATTTTCTTCTGCTGTCCGCTCGGGATCAGGAACTGTGACAAAGTAACCGGATTTGAACAGCATATGTTATATTGTGAGTAGCAATAGTATCTTATTGGACAAGGTGAAGAATAATGATCACAGCGCAAAAATGCTCCGCCTTCTATGATATACGGCTTCCTTTCCAATTGGCACTTGGGAGCTAAAAGCAGTACTGTACGTTTTAAAATAAAGCAACCCTGTTAGGTGTTTTACCAACACATCTGCCGTCGACGTCAATCGTTCCTTTCGGACAAGCACACACATTGCCTACAAGCATTACGATGGTTAGCGTCTGAGCAGATATTAGACATGGATTTTATGGGGCATTATTTATAAGCGACAATTAAAATTATTACATTATGTTACAGCTCATCGTCCCACTAGCTATTGGCTTCATTTGTGGAAGGACACCCTGCGCAGTAGAGTACAACAGTGTTGTTTACCTAAACGCGCTATTTTTAAATTAGTGTCATTGCGCCACATTTAAGAATTTTGTGACATCCATCAGATTTCAGTTTAGTGATGACCTTGGGAAAATGAAACTGCGAAGAAATTAATTTTCTTCTCAAGAATTTTCATATACGTTGCAGCTCAGAGCGGTACTTCGTCCATGCTGGCATGAACTGCAACAAATTTGCTTTGCATTCCAGACTGATAATCTGAGGCATTGCTGCCTACCTTCGGCAAACATCAAGACCGCAGCGTTAACAAAGTGCAAGCAACAATTTCAGATTTATATATAGAGGTAAACTAAGTAATATTCTAGTAGGATGGTAGTATTACCGGTTTGCGCTGAAACGCAAATCAATTTCGGGCTATACCGGGATGAATGGATCACAGACTCGGTGACGACATATAATATGCAAGGTTTTCGAGATACACAATATGTAGATGTTTTTTCATTACATATTTTCTAAATAGCAAAACAGTTGTTATTAAACATCATTATTACATTATTTTCTGATAAAAGATTTCTGGTTCGGTTAAAAGAAGCAATTCTGAAATATAGATTAGTATTATGAGCTTCCTATATTCAGTAACTTGTTTAGAAACTTCTGAAACCTGATATTTCACTTGAATGAACGAGTAATAGAGAACATAACCAAGGGGAAATGTAGATGCAACTGTCATTCTAAAAGTGGATAAAGAAAATATCATGGAATATGTATAAAGCAGACGCATCAGCAAATACAAAGAGGTGACGCCATTTGACGCCATACGTTAATATACTTGAGGATGCTATCAAAACACTGATACACTACATTGAGGGATAAAATTATCTCTATATCAGGTTGAAAAAGAAAAAGCTGGATGGACGAAGAAAATGTTAAAATATAAAACCGACTCTAATATGCCGGAATTTCATGGCTTACTGAAGGTTGACAAGCCTGGAACACTATTGCAGCTCATCGTTTCCGGTAGTGAAAGTAACCGATCGTTACATGACGATCTCACAGCCGATACTAAGTCCAGAAAATGAATCTCAGTGTCAAAAACACCAGCGAGTTTGTCAATGTATCTTTGTCAATTGAAAGCCAAAAGAGGAACGCTTATGGTCAGCTACGATTCAAGAACTTGTTCACCAGAGTACCACTAAAATAAATACTCAATATTGTGGATATACGAAGTTAGCGAAGAAGACAACGCTAACCGTTAAATCTGTTGTCGATATGACGAAAATTATCTAATAGACGACGGCTATTCCGCATTCAATAACGTACTATGCTAACGAACCAGCGGCTTACCCATGGGTTTTCTGCTGTCTCCCGCTTTGACGAAACTGTTTATGGAACATGCAGAAACACTGCCGCTCACCAATTCTGACAGAAATATCCAAATCTTATTGGTCAGAAGATGCATTGATGACATATTCGTATTCTTTGAGAATGATACGGAAACGTTCTTCCCTGATCACGTCAACACAAGCTGACCTGACGAAATCACGTTCCCGGAGGAAGTGAAGCAGAACAATTCTTGGTGCACTTGTTACAAGAAACGGGACCAGCTACTTTGCTGATGCTGTGCTTCACAAGGCAGCGTATACCAATAGGCTTCTGTCGTTCGATTCGAACAAACCATTCGGCGCGTAAAACCGCGGCATTAGCACTCAAGCTAGCAGATGCTGTGAACTGAGCCCAACAGATATTCATATCCGAATGGAACTGGATTACATCTGGAGCGCTCTCCAAAACGTTAACTACCTTAGAAGACTGACAAAAGAAGTGATTGGCAACCGGCAAATAACGAGTAGCAAAGAAAGCATTAAAAGCGAACAACAACGGTAATTCCGCCGTGGCCGCTCCCAAACCCGGAGAGAAAGGGCGAGGGTAGGGGACAGTGGCAAAGAATCCGTGAAACAGCTTTTTTCCACTCATAGAATTGCCGCTCTCGAACATTATACCAGCCAAGGTGTTACCCGGGTTACCAAGAGTTGCACAGGAAGTTGGGAGACGGAGGCACGCTGCAAAATGTCGGCGATCAGAACCTGCTCGCCCCCTTCTGGCAGCGGTGGCGAAGCAGCACGACAGCGGTTACCGAAGATCGATAGACGACGACGAACGTACGAGTCAGCAATGGAGCTGCTACTCGTTGTGACCGAAGGAATCAGACAGCGCGATGTCATTATAGCATGCCGGAAAAGACTCCATGAGAACGATAACGACAATGAGCTCTACAGTGAGCCTACAGTGGGAAACTGGAATATATTCTCACTCAGAGGGAAAGAGCAGGAGTTAATTGATGAAGCCATAAGGTACCAAGGCTCTGAAACCCTTAACCTCTGCTGGTGGAAGCCATTCTACTCAGGCGTTGGCATCACAATGAGCGCTCAGGCCAGTGTTGGTGCTCTAGTAGAACCCAACCTGTATCACAGAATCACTGAATGGGAGCCTGTGGAAGGAAGAGTGGCAATCATCCGGCTACAGCCACAACAGACTATTGCCTTGTTACAGACGTTAAAGCCCAGCTTGGAAGGAGAATATGACTCCTTCCTCGAGAAAGTAAGGCTGTTCTGAACGAAGTTCCGACTACAGAGTCCCGCATTCTAATAAGCGATTTTAATGCGCATTTCGGAGCAGATACTAAAAAGTGGAAAGACGTGAGTGGAAGGAACGGCCATAGCGACTTCAACAATAACGGTATGAAGTTGTTGCGGTTATGTGCAAACAACGCACTGACTGTTATGAACACTTTTTTCCTGCATTAAAGCGTGTCTCAGTATACTTGGCATATAAATGGTTGTGCACAGTAGTCGATGATCAATTAGACAGTCACATCGTGACTAATCGCAGAGCTGTCAACTGGCCAACACCTTCTTGTCGGCGCGCTACTCTGTGCGAAATGGAGTACCACAGGAAGATCTGGTGCAGAAGCAACAAGAAAATCAAATGGGAAAATTATCTTCTGCGGGTGCGAGAGCGAAACTTGCAAACAGCATTGCACGGCGGTTTGAACAGGTCCCGGTGAGCACCAGTGATGTGAAAACCAAGTGGAAGCTCCTCAGTGCTACCCCTGAATCCTGCCAATTAAAACGGGTTGACCTGCTACCTGGAGACCAAAAAAGAACTTCATGGTGGACACGATAGGTACAACGGGCAGTTAAAAAGAAGGCAGCATTCAAGAAATGACTTGGAAACAAAGAGCCTCCAACTCGCAAGCGGTATGAAATAGCACGCAAGGAAGCTGCGGAAGCAGTGGCCAAAGCTGATTCCTAAGAGAAGTTCGATGAGGTGTTGGAGTCGAATTTCCAGACAGCAAACAAGGCACTAGGACAGACCTTACACCGCCCCCAAGGTGAAAAGTAAGACATTCTAGGAATCCTGAAGAACAAGCCTGGACACCCTCCTATCGACGATGAGGCCATTCTTCTGTGACAGAAAGCGTTCTCTGAGGAACTCCATAACTCCAAGCAACCGCAAGAGACTGGCCTCCTTTGTTCTTCCATAAGGCAAACGTAAGCACAATGTTACGTAGGCTCGTTCGAAAGGGAATACCGCCAGGTATCAGATTCCAAAACATATAATGGTATTAGCAGAGGCATGCCAAAACCGTCAAACCAAAATCCAGTCGACAAGGCTACATCCACAACAATCTAATGAGTGAAATCTCAATTATATACGAGAACAGGCAGCAACACAGATGCAAAGACTAAAGAACACTTCAATGACCTGACATGATTTTGCAAAGCTGATCTGCATCAGAATTTGCAAGCACAAGAAAGAGAAAGGTGAAGACAAGCGAAAGATACAGAGTTGATCAAAAAGGAATTCGAAAAGAACTTTGCTGCTATGGAACATGCAGTACGAAAGTGACGTTTTGAACTAAACGAATGGAATACGTAGAAAAGAACGTTTTTGGCAGGGAAAAATGAAGCCCTGGCAGTTCAACCCAATAAAGACGAACAACCAATATGGACGTTAATTTGCCACTGAATTCACATTGGAACGAGGTTATGAAGCAACTGCCAATACCGAGGCTAAATCCTCGACAGGGAAGTTTTCGTATATAACTGTACGGATGTCGTCAGCGCGTCAGTCAATCAGTCGGTCATTCAGTCGGTCATTCCGTCGGTGAGTCAGTCGGGAGTCAGTGAGTTGATGAGTCAGTTCGTCTGTTTGGCGGGTGGTCGGTCGATCGGTTCAGTAGACTGTCACCGTTCCCCATCCTGTGGCAGAGTTTGAGCTTCGACAGAATATAACCCGAGTCTGGAGCGGAATCCTTTCATGCACATGTTCCATATTATACGTCGTCCTTGTCATCTTCGGCATGTCGATGGGGTCAAGTAGCCGCTGTTGTGATTTACGAAAGCATTCGCTAGACATCCGTTAAACATCGCAGCTGTGACTTCTCAATCTGGAAAAGCAGGGGCTGTAAAAATGATTCTCTTGGATGATCCATACCATGTTCAGAACAGCGATTCCCCCAGAAAGTCCCTTTCAGCCGCTTGTGCTCGCGATCGAAGTTTTTCAGTCATGGCACATGACTCATGACAGTATGGTAACCTTGGGATGAAGACCGATTTGAACACAGAGACCTTATTCCTCAGACTCACCTCTGCTTTAGTCACAACGGTTGAGGTTAGTTCATGCAGAACGCCGCTGACCATTCCAATTCACCAATCGAGAAATTATTTCAATTTTTCATCACCATTAAACACAGCAAAAAGTTACGCGAGATACGTGAACCTCTTCATCGACTACATCGCATTTTCGTCTGGAGAGCGCAAAGGGCAGGAGAAGAAGAAGGCATTAGGCTTGTTGTTTTAGATGCCTCGCACTCGACTGCGAAACTTTTCAGGGGACGCCGGAGAACAGTTCCAGGAGTTTAGAAGTTCCAATAAAACAAGGTGGTCTGCACACAACAACTACTTCGTTTCTGCATCTACACTGATAACGTCGTTACCGTGGTTGTGCCTGACTATAATATCCATGTCCATCGATCCCATATGTTTTAAGGCATACAAATAGTTTGTTGCACAGAATCTGGTCACAGGCTTTCGTCGGGTCCACAAAGTACATGTAAATCGGATGGGCGGGCGAACTCCCACGTTTTCTCAACAATCCGGCGTAAGGCGAAAATCTAGTCAAAATTGCTACGGAATGACCTAAAGTCACACTGCTCTTCTTGTATCTCAGAGTCAGTTTTTCGGCAGAATTTCCTTTCTGATACCTTTACGTATACTTTTCCCGTAAGACTCAATAGTGTATGAGGTATTGCCGGGACAATTACTACATGCTCCATTGCCTCCGTTCTGGAACAATGGTACAGCAAGCTTTGTAATCAGATCAATTGATGCCTTTTCGGTAGTCATTGCAATTTGAAGGACATGTGTTAGCATCAAAATGCCATGTTCAACTAAAGTTTTATAGATTTCATGGCGGGTTTCATCAATTCCAGCAGCAGTTTGTTTTATTTTGCTATATTAATCCTTTTGTTCACTGATATTGCAATATGTACATGGTTGTAGATTGATTTATTTTATAGTAAGTGCCGTTTCAAATTACCACGTACATATGTAACTTAATAAAGTTGGAATTTTTTTATTGCATATCGTGCACCTTGTTTTTTACGTTGACTGAACTTTTTTGTATAGATAACGCATGCGGTATGGATGGGACAATACGATATAACATTCAGAAACGACAGCGGTTGTCCTTATTCTGCACAATATAACAAGTCACAAAAGAGATATAGTAGTGAAATAGCTTAGCAAAGATTAACAGGCAGGTAATTAATGCATTGGAATGCAATGTAACGAAGGAAAACGGGCAACAGAAAAATAGATACAAGAAATTCAAAGAGAAACAGGATGCAAAAATCTGAGATGATACGAAAAGGGGAAGATGAAGATTATAAATGAACAGATGGAATAAACAAAAAATAAGAATTCAGACGTTGTTCATCTTGCCTAACTGATAAAATACAACTGTGACAAGTATAGGGAGAAGTTAGATCTATTTCCATGGTTAAGATTACTATTATTTCGTGTTGTTAACCGTGGATTCGGAAAATATCATTCTTCATCATCACGACGGCATATTAGAATAGGTTTTATTGGTTCTTGCAGGTATCATGTGAACTTCTACATCACATCAAAGCACAAATGAGGAGACAGAGCAGTTGAAAACTTCTGGCAATGCGCATACCGTACAGGTATACGTCATCGCTCCGTTTTCAGAATTCGTCCACTACTATGCTTCCTTTTGTGCGTTGAACCAGAAGTTCAAATAATGCCTGCAACAACTTTTAAGACTCATGCGAAAGGTGAAATG